CAATCTGAATGTTCAAATCTAGAGAAGTATCCAACAGATAAGCATTTTACAGAAAAAGTGAAAATACATCCCTTATTGTGGAATTAACCATTCGTTTTGGTGTTGTCCCTGCCCTTGGCTCAAGTGCCCTGACCCACTTATTTCTTTGCTCCACCATCCCTCAAGATACCCCTCCACTTCTACCCACTCCCTTCATCACCTATCTCCCACTGTCTAGTCCTTGATCTGATAGCTTATATTTAAAGCTTCCTTGGTTTCTGTGATTCCAGATTTATCAGCTGCTAACAAGAAGAGTACAAACGTTCATTACAAAAACAGAAGAGGAAGAAAAGACCAAAATGGATGTTAGAAGAAACTCTGAATATTGCACTGGAGCGCAGAGAAGCCAAAGCACAAGGAAAAATTCAAGATACTAAAGAGCTGAACAGAAGATTTCAAAAGGCAGTGTGGGATGACAAAGCAAAATATTACAATGAAATGTGCAAGGAGTTGGAGACAGAAAACCAAAAGGGTCGAACTCGCTCAGCATTTCTTAAGCTCAAGGAACTGAAGAACAATTCAAAACTCGAGTTGCTATAATCAAGGATGCTTTAGGCAGAGTATTAAATGATCCAGGAGGTATCAAAAGAAGATGGAAAGAATATACTGAGTTATTGTATCGAAAGGAATTAGCAGACACAGAAGAATTTCATGAAACAACATATGAGCAAGAGCCTATGGTGATGAAGGAAGAAGTTCAAGCTGCTTTGAAAGAAATAGTAAAAAATAAGGCCCCAGGAATAGATGGTATACCAGTTGACATATGTCAGCTAACAGATGCTGCCCTGGATGTGCTCACCAAGTTGTGTCAAGAAGTCTGGAGAACAACCACTTGGCCAACTGACTGGAAGAGATCTATATTTGTTCCCATCCCAAAGAAAGGTGACCCAACAGAGTGTGGAAACTATAGAACAATATCATTAATTTCACATGCAAGCAAGATTCTGCTGAAGATTATCCAAGAACAACTGGAACAGCACATCAGCAGAGAACTGCCAGAAGTCCAGGCTGGGTTTAGAAGAGGTCGTGGTACTAGGGATATTGTAGCTAATGTTAGATGGATATTGGCTGAAAGCAGGGAGTACCAGAGGAATGTCTATCTGTGTTTCATTGATTATGACTGTGTGGACCATAACAAACTGTGGCTGGCTCTGAGAAGAACAGGAATCCCAGGACACTTGATCGCGCTAATGTGAAACTTATACTTGAACCAAGACGCAGTCGTCAGAACAGAGCAAGGAAACACTGCATGGTTCAAAACTGGGAAGGGCGTATACCAGGTTTGTGTCCTATTTCCATACCTTTTCAACCTGTATGCAAAACAGATCATCCGGAGGCTGGGCTCTATGAGGAGAAATGTGGCATCAGGATTGGTGGAAGATCTATCAACAATCAGCGTTATGCAGATGACACAACCCTGCTTGCTGAAACTGAGGACCTGAAGCGCTTGCTGCTGAGGGTCAGGGACTGCAGGCTTCAATACGGATTGAGGCTCAATGTCAAGAAGACAAAAGATTCTCACCACTGGACCAATTGGCAGCATCAGGATGGATGGTGAAGAGATTGAGATTGTTCACAGCTTTAGTCTGCTTGGCTCCACAATCAACACTCTTGGCACCAGCAGCCAGGAAATTAAAAGACGTATTGCAATGAGAAAGGCTGCTGTTAGGGACCTCTCTAAAGCACTCAAGAGCAACAATGTTTCTCTGGAGACTAAGGTGCATCTGGTACAGGCCATGATCTTTGCAATCACTTGTTATGCATCAGAGAGCTGGACAATGACCAGGGAGGACAGAAGGAGAATTGATGTTTTTGAGCTTTGGTGTTGGAGAAGAGTGCTGAGAGTGCCATGGACTGCTAAGAAAACAAACAGATTGATCCTGGAGAGGGTTAAACCAGGCGGCTCCTTGGAGGCAAGGATTCTGAGGCTTTGTCTGACCTACTTTGGTCATGTTGTAAGGAGGGACCGGTCCTTGGAAAGGGACATCATGCTTGGGAGGGTGGAGGGCAGGCGCAAGAGGGGAAGGCCCTCTGGGAGATGGATTGATTCGGTGACTGGGGCAATTGGGATGAGTGTGTCGGAGACAATGAGATTGGCACAGGACAGAGCAGAGTTTAGAGCTGTTGTACATAGGGTCGCTATGAGTCGCAAGGGACTCGATGGCACATAACAACAACAGTTAACGAAGACTTGTTAATGTGGGTGAAGGGAAAGACAGCATAGGGTAGACAATCAGAACCTGCAAGTGTGGGAACCAATGTTACAGAACAAAAGGTACATGAAGGATTGACTGAAAAACGACATGCTTTGTAAATTTTATAAACTTTCCCCCAAATCATAATAAAAATAATTTTCTAAGTAAATTCCATCCTTTTAAATGTTCAGTGTCATAATCAGGAACTCGTCACATCCTCTCCAGCCACGTTCCCAGGACCTGTTCCCTCCCCACTGAGACACACTGGTGAACAGAACTGACACAAGGACAGTGCTCTCTGGAAGGCAAGAAGGGATGTCAAAAAGGAGGTGGACAGGGCACCATGATGGGTAGGGCCACAGCACAATCTTTTGGGCCTCTGGCGACAGATGATGTCACTAAGACTGGCAGTCAGTGGTCCCCTGAGAAAACTTTCCTTGGTTTGATAAGCAGAAAAGCTCTGGGTGTTGACAGCAGGAGTTGGACATGATTCATCACTCAAGTGTGTCATGGGCTAATGGCCAAGGGGCCCCTTGGACAAGTAGCTGTTCAATGTCCTTTGTCTCATAGTGTTCCTTGAGCTCCTGTGGTTGCCCGCCCCCTCAACCTAGCTTCCAGTTGCAGGGTGCTCATGTGCAGTAGAAAAACCTCAGTAATCCAACCTGCCCCAGGGAGTGAGAGAATCCGTCAGCCATGGCAGGCAGTGAGGTGGGTGGAGCCTTTGGGGGGGTGGGGGGAACTTGCAGATGGGATGGAGGAGTGGTCCTGATGGGCTTGAATTGGACTGGGGGCCATTGCAGAGGGGAAGCAGAGATCCGTGTGCAAGATGGACTGACACTAGCAGAGGCAGCAGTGAGCCAGAGGTGGCAGCTGAAACAGAGGGCTTGCTGGAAGCTGTCATTTGGGACTGAAGACCTGGGCGGGGCTGGAAAGCAGTATGTCTTAACTGAAGCACTGCATTTTGTCTCCTACTTGAACTGAAACCTGTTTCCTTCCCTAATAAACTAATAAACTCCTAATTATGAGAGCTGCCTATGAGCTCTGTGTAGGCACCACAGCGATTTGAGGGGTACAGCGAGAGCCTGGGACAGCTTGTGTTAGAATTGGTGGACGTGAGTGTGGGGGCAGAAGCACATCCGACCTCTGAGCACACTGTTCAGTACTGTTCATCTCACACACTGTTGGGTAGAGACCCAGTGGAGTTCGGGGTCACACTATCACCCAACAGTGGCACCCTTCCTGCACAGCCGAGGGAGAAGTGGGCAAGAGAACAAGTGGCATTGAGGTGGGGTGACGCTTACTCTAAGGTCACTGTGGCCATAAATGGTCCATATCTGGACACTGAAAATGTCAGCCCATCGTCTCACCTGTCCTGAACTCTCACTCCTGGTAACCCAGCAACAAGACCACAAACCCACCTTCATCAGCTTGCTGAGAATCCAGGAAAAACAGCACCGCAAGTGCGTCTACCTTGTCGCCGCTCCTAAGGTCTTCTTGTCAGGTCTTTGTGTGTCAGGCAAAAGGCCCTCTAACTGAAGGCGCGCATGGGCGCGCACACACCTTCCTTCACTCTCACGTCCATCAGTCTCACACACTCCCTCTCATTCACACACTCATAGACTCCCACCCTGACACACACAGACGTGGACACACACCCTCTCACACACACGTCATCATCCCATTTCGTTTTCTGCAAAGAGCCCACACTGTGCAGTTACCCTCTGTACACTTGTCTCTCGTGACCATTCCACACGCCTGAGTACTGAAAAGTGAGGGCCAGGCGTGTACCCACCAGGAAGGACGTAACGAAAAGGCACCGTGCTGGGGCTGGGGCACCGCCTGCAGCCGAGCGCGCGCGCCCAAGCACCAGCGCCTGGCCGGTCCCCGCCTCCAGGGCGGCCTCCGGGACCAGGTCCCCTCCTCCGTCCACGCTCGGCGCCGCTCCGGTGCGCGCACCTCTCCCACCCACTCCAAGGCCCGTGGTCCTCGTCCCTCTCCGCCGGGCTCTGGAGGCGAAGAGGCTTGTTTCCACGTAAGCCGGTGGTGGTTCCCTAGAGTAATGGGCTCCCGCGCCCTCCGACCGCCACCGCGCAGAAACCTCTGTGCGCGCACCTCTGTCTCTGCACTGCACTGCCCCTCGCCCTTCTCTCTGCGGCCCCCAGACCCCCTGCAGACCCCGGCGAGCCCCGTCCCCGCGGCGGCCCTCCC